CCTATGCAGGTTAATTACGGCGCCATCAGCTTACAAAAAATATATTCCTATAATGAGTTCCCTTGAACATTCTGGTAGCACAATGAAATCGACAACGTAAATAAAGCCCCGTATTTCAAGTCTTGCAGTGCATCTGCCAAGGGGCGTAATAATGTGACCGCCTGCCGTGCGTATCTACAATCAACTCTACTGTGTCACAACTTTTTTTAGCTTCTTCACCATCTTGTGACTTATCACTGAATAATTAGCGCCGGTGTCGAATAAAGCACTCAGCTCCCATCCTTCCATTCTCAAATCCGAAATAATGCTTTCTTTGCTGCACCTGTTTGCTGGAAATACACAGTCATCACCCTCAAACTATATTGGAGGATCTTTGTAATTGAGGTTATCAGTGCCCTCACCTCCACAGGTCTCTTGCTTCAATTTTCCGGGAGTAGACTTGAAGAACGATGACCAGGCTGCCTCGAAGGTGCATGTGGGCTGGGTGACCGGTAGCGCATAGGGGATGGTGACCGTGACCGACGTTGGCATCGAGGTGACGAGATCTGGCGCGTACACAGGTACTCCTCAATCTTTGCTGGTTGTTCGCCGTTTCGGGGGCACGGTGCATATGACGGGAAGCCTCTTAGTCCAGCCTGTCAGCAGGGCAGAATCTGTACAGATGACCCACTTCGCCACAATGAAAACACAGAGGCCTGCGCTCATGATCACACCAGACGTCACTTTTCCTGGGCCTATGCTCTACATAGCGAGGTATGCTACGTGCTCCTGGGGGCAGATATGTCGGTTCCCGTGGATGAGGTGCCCTGCGTGCTGCAGGTGGGAGAGAAGTCGCCGCCATCACAACTGCTGCATTGCTGTGCACCGTGGGTTGTATGAGAACTTCAGTGTATGTTTGGATAGGTCGAATCGGTGGCAGCTCATGCTCTGGCTCTCGTATGACCTGCCTCAGTTCGTCTCGAACAATGTCTGAGCAGATAGTGCAGTTGGAGCCTGGGGCATTTGCATTCTGCACAGTTTTTCTCAAATAGCCGAGCTAATTAACTCTCGCAGGACTTCAATGTCGTTCCACACACCTCCAGAGAATACTTATGTAGATGCGCAGTTTAGATTCCGGTTGTACTGACGAGCCCGCTGTTCCAGTGTTTTTTCGATGGCTGTCGCTTCTGAATAAAACTCAGCAACTGTTCTTGGGGGGGGGGGAGGGGGGGGTTGCGGATGAGACTGGCGAACAGCTCTTGCTTCACCCCACGCATTAGATGGCGTACCTTCTTATCCTCAGCCATGTTGGAATCCACACGCTTCAACGGACGGACCATGTCCTCGATGTACATAGCAGCACTCTTGTTTGCGAGCTGGTTCCTCGATTGAAGAGCAGCCTCCGCTTTTTTTTCTGGTCTGTGTTTGCGTACATCGCCATCGCTTGTCAAAATACCTCCCAGGTAGACAACGAGGTTTCATGGTTCTCAAACTATGTATTTGCGAAGTCTTCAAGGGCGAGGTATACGCCACGGAGCTTCCCTCTGTTGTCTCATCCATTCAAGCCTGCCACTCTCTTGAACAGGTCCTACTCTTCCACGTCTTTGTACAAGTCGCCATGGAATACTGGCGGCTGGTGCGGTTGGCTGATGAACACTTGTGCCGGTGTTACCTGTCTGGTCATAGTGGTGACGTCTATTGTCCGAGTTCCCCTAGGTGTGAAGTGAGGAGGACTGAACTCAGGTGAGTCACCTCGAAGACGGCGACTTGGCTTCTGGTGTACAGGTGCCACTTCCACGGGGTTGACTCGCTGGTGGTCGGGGCTACACTGTCTTGAGCTCGTGGGGCTTCAATTTATACCCAGTACCTCCACCAGAAATGCAGCGATGCTGAGGCAGACAGGCTAATAAAACAAGCATATATATTAGGGCGAACTTGTGCCTACGAGTCAAATGACAATGGTCGTCGAAGTCCAAGTAGTCAAATTCCACAGACCCAACTGTCGTCGTCTCCTTCGTAGCCAGAGCACACGAGCGTGGCACATGCCAGCAGAGTCTGGCCTGGTGCTCGTGCCACGATGGTCACGGCGGGCTACTTGAATGTGGCACACCTGTCGGGGCAATATGTCGTGTGAACGATACCACCACAGGAGCAGCAAGACTATGACATGTTAATCATGAGATTCATGACATGCATGTCATGATTTTCAAGTTATGATTAGCCACTTATGCTCGTCATACAGCCATGTTATGCCATAGCAATTTTGGTATAGATCCCATAATCCAAACGGCCAGGAAAGCTAAAAGGCGGCTAGATAGATAGGTCAAGCTCGCCAATGATCGCTAAGAAATGCTTCACATTTAAAAACAACTGTCGCCATCTCTATTATTCCATTAGGGCACTCTATCACCATCGAAGATCGAGTGGTCAAATTCTAGGAGGTTCACGCACACAAACATACGATGGAGCGAGCTAGTTCGACTATAATCGTCTTTGCTATGTACACAGGAAGCAAGCACGGCAGCACGAAGGTCTACTACGAAAAAAAAAAAAAAACCTCGAAAGTTGTCTCCATGCATGCGTACGAACGCTTGAGGCATGAGCACGATGCAATTAGCAGGCAAAAGTTCACCACACTGTTCACAGAAGGAAGCTTCACAAGAAACATAAAAAGCAATGAACAGTAGCTTCAAACACTCGCTGCCACTCGTAACCGCCCCATCTCGCATGCCAGAAGAGGCTTTAGGAAATAACACCATGTGTAATGACAAGCAAAGGAGCAGTCCCCAAGTGCCCGCACTGCAATCCATCAAGTTCTCACAAAAATGGTGGCGAGCGCATTTGTATCTTTTCGGCGTCTGCTAGCATGAAAACCTGTCCAATACCTTCTAGAAAGCTTCCACGACTAAATTGTCCTACGAGCGCTTGGCGACCCTCGGGTAGCCAGAACCACCCAGCCCAAGAAAAACCAACGCCGACCGGAAGTACGCCGCAGGGGGTGTTGAAGCAACCTGAGAAAAACGGGCATGCTTTTGCTGGCTCTGGCAGCCCGCGGGTAGCCAAAAGTGGAAAATCGAAGAACCCAAGAGTTTACCTGCGAAATGACCTTGCATCGCAGCTCACGATCCCCGATCTGTCTAATGGTTTTAAAATGAGCGTAGTTTTGCAAAAAAGGCACACTTCAAAGATCACTTGATTCAATCCAGAATTATGTCACGTCACAAGAAAAATGTACTTGATGTTTTCAACACCGCTGCAAGCAGCTGTGAGCAAACCCAGGCTTGAGCCACTCCATCGACTAGCCTGAGCTGGCCTCCTGGAGCACAGGTGATGGGAGATGACGGCACCAGCGGCGTGACGCCACTCGCCTGCTTGAGCTGTGATTGGCTGTGGACATGCGGCGGTCCGATGCGATGGCGAAGATATCTAACCAGTTTGATGCACGCCGGACTGGCGACGCGACGGTCCAATGCGATGATACATCACAAAATGTCATGAAACGTCACCACTGCGGCTGCTGCGGCATCGCGCCGCATGCCGCATCGCACGGAAAATACCACGTTCGTTTCACGCTTCTGATGTGATGCAAATGCGGCCAAGCTCCTTGCGCAGTGACCACACAGAGAGCCGATGAAAACAGCTAGCTGTTTTTCCCATTGGCATTCCAAAACGTCAGTCCAAGTAAGCTGTGCGCCGATTTAGTTATTTAGGTTATTTTTTTATGAATAATTCTGGTGCAAATTGAATAGCAATTAATAGTCGCACACCTCTATAAAAGGTCATGCTGCACTAAGGTCTGTACAGGAGACATTGTACATGCCGATTCATTGTAACATACTTATTTAATTTTCAATGACTTCTGCAAGCGTCTGGAATGCTTTATGCTTCTTCTTCACTAGATTGATATTCATCAGAGCATGTCCAACATAGGGTTCCATTTTCATTTCAACATGTACAGATATATTGCAAAGAGCTCCTAAGACTGACAATCAGTCACAAAAAAAAAAAAAACCAAGGACAGGGCACAAACACCATGCACTGTGCTGTTCTCCGTTAGTGACAATAAACCTAACCGCTCATCAACAATTCTTGACAATCTGCGCTACAACCCTAATTTGCCCATTCTAGCCCCGATAGTTGGGCGAGTTGGTAAAGGTTCATGATTATGAAATGGTGCAAACAAGGGCAAATAAATACGATGAATACACGGGCATCGAGAAAAGTATAGGGGATGTAATTAGAAGCAATTGTAAAGCAAATGTGAAGAAAGAGAAGTGGAGGAAAAGATAACTTGTCGTGGGGCCAGCAGGGACTGAATTTGCAACCTTCGTATAAGGCGTCTAATGCTCTCCTAACTGAGCTACCACGACTGCTATCGACCCATCCACTTTATGGGATATATATGTGTATTAAACGTGAGAGCGTGTACCATTTTTGCGTCCAAAAAAGAAAACGAGCCCTTAAATGTCCACTTCCTTACTTTATTTATTTTGACATTCACTTTTATACTCACATGTGGTCCCACATAAGCACACACAAAGGAAACAAAAGTCAACCCCCATTGCCCATTTAAATACACCATTTCTTTTCTCTGCAAGGCGATAGATGGTACGCTTGTACATCAATTCTGTTTTGTTTCCTCTGTGAGCTGTTATGCTATCTGTGACCACGTGCAAATATGAAAGTATGTGTCGAGATGAATAAATACTAGTTAAGATTCGAGCGCCTGTGTTCGTGTACTATTCTTCATCGCCTGTATTTATCGTCCCTTGGTTGCAGCAGTTCATAACCTTGTCCTTTGGTAAACATACCGCAGAGTGTATACTTCAGCTGATGTGTGATGCAATCTGCTTGCTTGAATAAGTCGTTCTATGCCGAAGGCTATGTGTTCAATCTTCTAAAATTCAGCTCCATTGCATGACAAACCAAGACAATGTCACTGGATGCATGTGATGCTTTGGCCTTCTTTGCAAGAAGACAGCATCGTGCACACAGCGTCAATAAAAGAAGACAACTCAACGTTGCAGCACCATTATGTCTTTCCACCCAGTCAGGCTTTATTGTAGTGCTGATACAGAGCACATCCAGGCCAAGCGTACTCATTTGAACTGGTTTATGAGCTTGTGAACCTTGCAGTCTGTCCTCAGCTGTACAAAGTTCACCAACACACCTCTCTCCAGGCTTGCCTGCAATACACACACTCCTACTTATCCTCCCAACGACATTTAGGTAGTAGGCAAATTCATGTTATGTAATATCAGCCTCCTTTGTTTTTCTCATGTGATACAAAGTAAAATAGATATATAAATAATACTGTTTCTCTTTCTTACCTTTCGTTTGAAAGTATTTTCTGGAATGAAAAATGCATGAGATACATGGGTGACAACATTGATAAAGGCAAAAAAAGCTTGCAATTCGTACAGCAGACCACGGCAATCACATCACGATTTTCTGAATATTACAGTGATATGCACCGCACAGATCCTCCATTTAGAAAAAAAAAAACAATTTCCGACATACGCGCAGCGACACAAGCTTGACCATGTGCAACTTGATGTACCACTAAGCTTGTCGATTGGGCCTTTGCCCTACGAAACGGCACCTTGGCCTTTGTGATGCCGCTTCCACTGTTTAGTTCGCATTTTCATTTTCCTATGTAGCCCTCTGCTGTTTTGTAGAGCTTGAGGCTACCAGAATGAAAGCCTCCAAGATAAAGAGGAAAATATCTACTTTAACGTTAGGGTAAGGTGGCTAGAATGAGGAGGTGTGATGAGCGCAGCGCTTTTTGCTTGTCAGAGAGGGTCGTTCGGCACACCGATGCCGCAAGGGGCGCTGATGGCAGTGGCGTGGGTAGTGAGTGGGGCACTTTGCACATTTTTCGTCCGCTGCGCTGTTATTTTCTTCACAGGTGGTCGCTGCTTTACAAGTACTTTGTCAATTGCGTACGCTGGATTTCTCTGAAATGCCTGAATATGCAAACGGTAAAAAAAGACTCAGCGTCAGTGCATTGCCCCTGGGCGCAAAATTTGATGCCGCATCTCAGCCGTAGCTCTTCTGTCTAGAATTAATGATGTGTGACACGGAATATGACAAGGAAGACAGCGATAAACTTTGATCTGATGCACTAGAAGAGTCTGTCGCTCATGAACCGTACACTGCTGAGCGGCATATGGTCACCTTGTATGTTATGTGGCAACTTTGCCAGAAATCTTGTACTTTGTAATAATTAAGATGAGTGCAAGAATGCTTGTCTTGTTTCCAGTGTTGGCGGTAACATGTTACAAGTAACAGCGTTGCTGAAATAGCATGCTACTTTTTTCAGTAATTTAGTACTTATGCACTTATTATCATGGGGAAATTACCATCGTAAAATATATGAAACGAAGTGCCACAAATACACAGCAAAGGAATACATAGGTATGGTCATGACGTGGCACACAAACATGAAAAGCAACAATCAATTGGAAGAGTGAACAAAATTTCGAGAGATGTACTATTCGGGAAAACAAATGATGTGGGCAAAGCCTTTAATATAACGAATTTGATAAGATGAAAGATCAAAATATTCGTGGTTCAAGAAGTTTAGTAGGGAAGGTAGCCTGTAGGGCAATGATTGTTCATCATAAACAGTTATAGGGGTAGGTGCAATCAACATTTCGTTGTGCCTAATCAGACAAATACTTGGGTTTACGTTTAGCTCAGCAAGAGTAATTATGGTACTGGTATCATGCTTAAAGAATGCTTCATAACATGTGAAATATATAAATACGAGGTTTATTAAAATGCTATGCAGCATTTCAACCCCATGCAGCAGTGGTATCTTGGCGGGGTTTTGTATATGTAGAATTCCCTTGGTGTAATAGTATTTTTTCACTCTGTCCCACATCTTTTTAAAGGGCGTGAACCAAACACAAGATGAAAAAAATGGGTGAATAGTTAAGCTATAAGTGTTGTAGTGCATGAACAAGTGGAATGGATGAAAAAGAAGTGTTTTTATTTTAAAAAATGTCAGATCCCACGTACAGTAGGAATCGATGATATGCAAAGCACGAATGAGAAAGGTAATGTCACTTCAAATCCCCACAAAGTTATGAGGTGCATGAATGTACACATTAAACACAAGTGGAAATGTTATGCGCACTCGGGTATCTGGATAAAGTGCAAGTATGTTGTTGATAGTCGCGCAACAACGGAAACACGAACGTTTGCAATACCAGCCTCAGCAGTGGCAAGCATGTAAATTATGCCGTACATGACTTTCATGTCATAATTATCATGTTTGTGCCTGGCATTTGTGTTTTTCGTCATTGACGTCACATAATACGAAATTTGGTATATGTGAAGCTAGCAAAGCATCTGCCAGGGCATCACGAGCATGGTATGTAGTCATGTTCTCACATGATTCGCACATCATGATTACCATGTTTGCACCAGCCATTTACCTTCACCATCCATTCACATCACGTAATACCAAATTTGGTATATGTGAAGCTAGCGAAACGGCCGTGAGCGCATCAGGAGCATAGCATGTAGTCATGTTTTACATGACAAGCACGTCATAATTATCATTTACCTTCATCGTTTGTTTGCATCACGTAATACAAAATTTGGTATATGTGAATCTATTGAAACAACCTCGAGCACACCATGAACGTATGGCGTGTAGTCATGACGTACATAATATGCATGTCATGATTTCCACGTTAGGGCTTATGGTTGCCATGCAGTCAGGTCATACCATACCAGTTTTGTAATGTGTTGTGTGAACGAAACCACCGCAAGAGCCGCAAGACCATGACATGTACATCATGACGTTCATGACATAGATATCATGATTTTCATGTTACGACTAGTCACTTATGCTGGTCATACAGCAATGTTATGCCATAAGAATTTTGACACAGATTCCACCATCGCAAAGAGAGCTAAAAGTCGTAGGCAGATGGATGGATGTACGGATGGGATGGATGAATGGATAGACTGACAGAGAGACAGATAGATAGATACCCTCAATGTTGCTGAAGTTCGTTAAGAAATGCTTCACATTTAAAATAATCGCATGTCTGCTGCTGGGGACATGAATATTGCGCTCTTTGTGACTCATACGAGTTAATGAGTAACTACACCGCTAAAACTGTTACATTCAAAGACCTATAATTGAATGCTAACTGAATATTCAATTGTGGCTTGTACAAGATTATGCATATGGAACAGCGAAACAGGGCTGTGGTACTGAAGTTTCTGCTCGTGGTTGAATAAATTTAGCATGCTAAAATTATTACTAAGACATCCAGTGATTTACGGTTCTTAGCGCGCCTGCAGCTTCGAATAACCGCGATATCGTTATATCCTTAAGAGTGGGCGTCCAGTGTCACTCATAGGCCTTTTCGGGAATAGTTTTCAGAGATGAGACTTTAAAGGGCTTAGGTGGATCAAAACAATTTTACAAAAGATAGGTGACCGACACATAGCGTGGATGCGATTTTTGCAGAGAGCAGCGCGCGCTCACTCGTATGTCGCTTCACAAGTCTACCCACTTCGGTACATGCAGCGCCCCAAGCGGCATCGGTGCGCTTTGGTGACCGGTTTCGGCTGCCGCTTTTCGCACCATCTCATTGTAGCGACCCTGGTTAGGGGAAGGGTACTTCTCAAACCGCGCTTTAGCGCTTTTTGCCTGCACCGCTATGACACGTTCTCATGTAGGCGATGCCTTGCTCGGTCGTTGACTGCGCTTTGATGACAACGATACTAGATACCTTAAGTTATCAAACTCCACTGTGGTGCCGACCCCTTTCTGTCGCGCCCGCGGAGCAGCGCAAGCAGCGCTGTTGGCCTGAGAGTGAACGGTGCAAGCAGCGCTGGTAGAGGCAACAAGCAGAGGCGCCCAAGCGCGCCCTATTTTTGCTCACGTTGATTATCTATGCAGCAGGATGCTGCCGTGGACTTTGCGATAAAAATTGCACCAACACCCGCTGCAGTGCTAAGCAGCACCGGTGGTGTACACAGCATTTGCATCGGTTTGACTGAGTGTTTCCAATAATGTTCCTTCAATGTTGCGTATTGAGTGCTGTCACCGTCTGCAGAGTTATTTAGTGGCGTTGACACCGCTGAAGCCCAGGCGTTGAATTTGTCTAGTGAGGCAATCTGCACAGGCGTTGGACTCTCATCATCTGTCTGCAGCCAACACATGGGGTCGACCCTGACGCTTGGCTTAGGCGTCTGTGTTGCGTATGTTAGGGTTAGCTTGCCAGCACTGCCATTGTGTTTCGCCATGCCAAGCCAGTGTTTCATCCGTAGAAGTTTCCCGCCGATGTAGTCCTTTGAGCTTTGGCCCACCAAGCCTTCCACTCTTCTCCCCGCTGCTCCATGATCTAAAAAAGCATTTAAGGCTGAGAGCTAGAGCTGCAAAAGGAAAAGGCCACAGCCTCTTACACACAGCCACTTACGCAGGTCCAAACACGCTAGTGAGTTGCAGTGCATTCGGACTAGGCATTGCTTCATCACGCATCTGCAGATTCTTGTTCCCCCGACGCCATCACGCGTTTGCTAAGAGAGTGTTAGGGGTTGAGGCTTTATGTGAGACCATAGCCTCTTTCCTAGCCCCTTACACAGGCCGGACGCGCTACTATGTTCTGGCAGTGCTTGGGCCAGCTGCGTAGTAGGAGTGGTTACACCGCACATTGAATTGAACCCCTATTCGAAATGCCTCGCGTCTCATATGCCTCGATGTTTTGCAGGTGCGTAGCCAGAAATGTCTTTGGGGGGGAGGCACCTTTTTGATTTTGGAGAGGGCAACCCCCTGAAATGTTCATTTTTTGCTCTCTATGCATGAAACCCAACAAACATGTAGCTTGGTGAGAATTTTTGAAAACAGTGCTGCAATAGCGGAGTTAAACATGTTTCATATGAAAGCCGCAATCACCATATTTACTAGCGTAATCGAACCCACCTTTTCTTCAGAAAAGTTGATGCCAGTTTGGGGGACGGTTCATTACGAAGGAATAAAAAAGTCACGGGAGTTATGACGGCGAAAATTTCATATAGTGGTCTTGCTTGTCTTGGTCCGCGAAATGCGCGGCAAATCATTTTTGTAGCCTGAAGCTCTTTTTGTTTTCTAGTGTAACCAACAGGCACGGATCCACGAACTTTAAGGGGCCAGTCAACAGGCTCCGACTTTTTTTTTTAC